GGGATATTGTTTGTTTTTTTGTTTGCTTTCTTTTTTAACTACTCCAAAACCTTGTGGTTAAGATATTAACTTCAACAGTTGGAAATCTGGGTTTACATCTGTGCTCTGTTTGATTTGGAATGAGAATTTGCACGAAATCAACCATAACCTGGGTATTTTTGTTCTAAATCTTGTCCTTCTCATCTTTTCCTCTTCCCTGTTGAAGCTGTTCTTTGTATGCGAAAGTAGCCACAGTTCTGTAGGGAGAACAGTGGAGTATCTGATGGCTAAGAAATCCTTTTCTCCCTTTCTTACTTGGAAACATTTAACTGGAAACTCCATCTCAGGCTTAAGGAAAATTTTCTCAGAACCAATACGTTCCCGATTAAATGGGTTGGCACTGTATAAAGCAAATTCCCAGTAAGCGATATTTCAGGGTCTGCTGTTAAATAATTGGCTATGAATGTCAGAAATTTCTGATTTTACCACCTGTTTTTCTATAAACTGGACAACTGAACTCCAGTAGTGCCTCCTTCTGAAGTGAAGTAATAATTCTTCAAGGGGAGCTCACATTAGTGTGAACAAAGTGGTAGGGTCTGGCTTCTAGCTTCCCCATGGTTCAATTTACCAGTTTGTCATACTGTCACATAAGAAGAGCTGTGAATCTGTTTCTAAAAATGTAGGCATCTTAAATAGAAAAGGTATACACAGAAGATCTGAAGCAATACCTTTGCATGAAGTATTGATCCTGTGAAGTCATCAAAGCCAAGATTTAATCCTTACATTTAACTACATTCACCGCTGTTATTAAAATAATAGATCTGTTCCTTGAAAAGAGGCTTCTGTAGGGAATTTAGTTGCTATTAGTTTCTCTTCCTTAGCAACACTTTAAAAATACCTTTTGCTATTGTTTCTGTAGTCCACCCTTTTATGAACTCTATTCTGAAGTCCACCAGTTACTGGGATCTGCATTTCTCCATTTAGAGCTGATGCTGTTGAGTCACCTGTATGGTACCCTGGGGTATCAGGAGTGGAGTTTGGAGCTGCTCAGGAAATAAAAACCTCTGTGCAAAGCTAGCAGTGTGCAACAGCAAAACTATACATGCTTATTTGTCACTCCTCTCTTTCTCTCACTCCACTTTTCTTCCACTGAAGACAGTGTCACTACCTGCTGCTACCTTGAGTATGCTTAGAGCTCCCATGAGATTCAAAAATCCTTGTTTGGGTATTTCTGGCCATTTTTCACTCCCCTCTGGCAGTAATGGATGATGATCAGAATTTGAGGGAGGAGGCAGAAATGTTCCCCTGATATTTTCCATCTACCTGCCATCTCGATGTTTCACAGTTGTCTTTACTGCTCTTTGTGCATGTATACATGTGCTTCTTTCCCTTCTTAACCCCATGTTTTCTTTCTCATCCTCTTACTATTGATACTGGCCAGGGTGTGGTACCATCAACCAGAAATACCGAAAGCAGCCCATGACATTGTAGAGTTTTGTACCACTTTATGTTCTGTATCAAACTCATTACAATTGTACAAATAATTTCAATCCTAATAAGTTCCCTGTTTAGGAGTTTACTGAATTTTTGTCTGGGCTGTGACCTTAACAGTTTTCACCTCTAGAAACATGAGAGCTGAGAACACAGTCTCATTTGGGGGGAAATCTTCAGTCCCAGCTCACTCATTTTAGATTTACAGATAAGTTCACCTCTGCTATGCCTTCCCTAAATGGGTACATGTGTCCCTTCATTGCATCTCAACTAATTTCGTGTCCTCTATTTTGTTCAAAAGTGACTATTCATTGAAAAGAAAATAGCTCCTTTAAGTATACAGTACCTTTGCTGCAATACTGACACTAAACATTGCTGTAATATACTGGGCCAAGCAAATTATTTTTAAAGTAAAATTATTAAACTATGATCTTGCTTAATCCTTCCATAAACATTTGGGGAAGAAAAATATGCTTTAATCTTGTTTCAATTCTACATTTTTTTGGTGAATAATCTGTGAATAATGCACTTTCCAGATGCAGAGTATTACTGAGGTATTATGATAAGACTAAGGAAAATACAACCAAAGATGTATTTCATTTAGAGGGTTGTGTGTTTGTTTTTCAAAACAGAGGCTTTGGTGCCACCACTCATAAAATGTAAAGGAGTCATCTTGCTTTCAGCCCACCTGCCCATAATGGTTTGGACTACAAGTCTTGTTCCATTAGAGGCAGTATCAGGGTCATATCAATGCTACTGCATTTCATGTCCAAAGAGAAAACAGTTTCAGTTGTGCCACTTTTTGACAACAACCTGTGTAGCCACTGCAGGTGAAATCTTGCTGAGTGGATCTGGGATTTGTTTATTCCTGCCTCACAGACATCTGTTCCTTCTCCCAAGTCCCTTGATGCTGTCTGCCTTCATGCAGCATTTAACCAAGTCAATAAGACCTTTGTCTACATGTGAGATACAGAAAACGCAACTGGACCATGCCAGAAATGTCTCCTTCTGAGCTGTGGTTCAAAGCTATGTGTTGAGCATAGTTTAGTTATAATTTTATTAGTAGAAGTTGACCACTGTTTTTCTGCAGAACTTGAAGATGTTGAGTTGTGTAACCTTTGCTACTAGGTCCTACAAGTGTTGTTGTCTTGCCTGGCCAGTCTTGTCTCTGAATTGTTGAAATATTCCTGATTGTATGTGTTAATTGTTACATGGAACTACACAACAATTGTTCTTTCATAAATCTGGTCTAGGTGATTATCTCAAGCTGTGTTGACCTGACTGCCATATAAAACTTGGGGAGAACAGACTGTATGAGCTAAAACCGTCCAGCCAGCAGAGAAATTATATTAAAACTATGTCTAAGAGAAATCTTCATAAACATCTCCTATTACATCTTTCCTTATCCAAAGATTTGGGGCAGAATCCTGGCCCCAATGAAGTCAATGGAAAAACTCCAATTGCTGTTAAGAGGGGCCAGGATTTTATTCCAAGTCTGTGAAATAAACCATAATTAACCTTCCATCATGGCTGCCAGATTCCATGTCACCACTTGCTTCCACTTTCTGAATTTAATTTTAGTGAAAATCTGTACAAAACTTAAGCAGCATTTAACGAATAGCCAAGTGGCTTTCTCCCTCTATCACTTTCTCTTACATTTCCAGTTAATTTAGAAAATGTGCCCTGCTGTCTTCCACGATTTCCTCTTGTAACAAACGTTAAAGACCCTACATTAACTTGATGGCAAATTCTCCTCGTTGTTGCTTGCTTTTCTTTTATGCTCTGATTTGAAGAAGCCCCACAGCTCACCACACTCTAATTAATGATCATTAACTATTTAAAACTTTGCTTTATTCTCTGAACTAAATTAATTCCCTTTCTTCCCCAAATAAATAAATGCTAGTTTTAATTATCTTTATATAAATATTTTTTTAGTTCCAGTCAGGAGCTCTTGCTGGATGTTCAGTATGCATTTGGGCTGCCATTTGACCCAAAGTATGAAGAACATTTTACTCTGGAAGAAAAGAGCCTTTCCTTGCAAATTATGAAGTATATCTCCAATTTTGTAAACTCTGGGTAAGTATGGGCCATTTAAGAATTGCTATGATTGGGGAGGGGGCGAGGAGTAGAGGGAATGTAGTTCAGATCCTGCCCTCACTCAAGCAGCCTCTATTTCCCCTAGTAATTTGTAATCCTACAGAGGAGGCTTTGGTCAACACTGTTGGAAAGTCATGGCCAAGTTGTCAAGCAGATACCAAAGATTTGTAGTATGACACTTAGCTAGAAGTAACAGGAATTTTATCTCCAGGGGGTATCTGCAAATTCTACTTAAATATATGGGGACTACAAAGGCCTTGGTGTTGTTTCCAGAGTTTAGTTCTAGGACCCCGACTCTGAAGTCTCTTGGCTAAGAGTTCCCTTATTCTCAGAAGAAAGAGGAAAGCACATGAAGACACAGTGCACCCTTTACCAACTATTCTGCAAATAGCCCTCAGCTTTACTGTGCTATGGCTGTGCTCGAGAATGGGGAGTATCTCTGGAAAGCTAGTGTGAAAACTGACTTTACGTGCTTTTTAGAATACCTTGGGTTGCATTGGGACCAAGGACTGTTGAGAGTGTTCATAAGCCTGTGTCTATACAGATTCTGTGTACTTGTTCCTTAGGAAGTCAAACAGACTAACAAGTCACTGTCAGGTGACACACCATGAATGATTCACCAGTCTGGACTGAATTTGAACCCTGCCTGGTTAGAGGGACTGGATACACATTTCCTTGACCTAGCCAATCTCCTTCTGCATTTTACTGTTCATGCCATTGTTTTCTAATCATCTTTTCTCCTGTTCCCATAGAAATCCAAACTACCATCACAGTTTCTCAAGAAGAATGTCAGGAGTGATACCCCCCTGGCCTATGTATCTGCCAAATGATGATGGTGATAACTACAAGGAGTTCACTGTTTCCTTGCCGACTCTTAAAGGATTGAAAAAAGCAGACTGTTCATTTTGGTCTGATTATATCAGAAGACTGAAGGCATCCACAGGTGAGCAGAGTGTTTCTTGTTATTAAATAAAACCTAAATTCTCTGCTTAATATTTTTGTCTGACTGTAGTCCTGTTATGTCAGTGTGGAAAAATAATTTTCATAAATTAAACATCTTACATTGTCGAAGGTATATAGTTAAGACTGTCCTGAGACTGAAAGGATGCAACACTAAACAAATTTATTTTATAGCAGATAGTGTGTAATAAAGTTTCATTGTCCTGAAGTTAGAGCTAGAGAAATCTTCCTGTGGTGATGACAGAAGATATGATGAAGCTATATCTTCTAATAGTTTGGTGTCTATTTGCAGTCATAATACAGACTTTGACTAAACTGGAAGACTAGGTATATGGGCCTCTTTTGTCTACTGGAAGCAGCTGACGCGAGAATGTTGAAATTCATATGACTTAGGAGGAGCACAGTAACTTCTATCCACTCTAAATTTGTAACTGAGGCTTTAGATATATGTCATTATGGATCCTGCATGCTTTGACTTCACACTAGATAAGTTTGGGTTTTTTATAGCTGTTCTGGTTATGCACCTTATATTTCTCCTGTCTCCATAAATTTCCATGCAGTTATGAGATTCCTTCAATTTTTTCTTACTGCTTAGGACAGTAAAACCAACTCTGTGGAGATTTCAATCTGCTGCTCTGTCCTGAACACTCAATTTATTCTGGTAAATAAATTCCCCTTCATGTCTGTGTATCTTGTAGATAAATTTGGATAGCCTCAAGAAAAGCAAACAAAACCATCCCTTTTTGGCAAGTGGAGATATTTTGAATTATTCTTGGAGGCTTGCAAGCTTACAAGTGTTTTTTATGTCCTAAGGACTCATCTTCACAGTGAACACAGTCCAGGCCCTGTCTGCTTTGGGAGACAGTTGCAATTCTGGGAACAAAATGCACGCTCAAAGACACCAAGCTCCCCAGGCTATCTATGCCTGACAGACCACCTCAAATGGACTGAGGCTGATGTTTGAATGACACAAAACTGTAATGACTCAGAACCATCAAGTTGGTGGTTCTCATACAAACACAAAGCATCAATGCTCTTGTTCAATAGACGGCCTGAATCATTAGTCATGGACTTTCTTCAAAAGTGGACTCAAGATTTTGCTGTAGACCTTTTTGTCACTGTCCTAGTGTCCCTCAGTATCTTCCAAGTTCAGAGGGGATATTTTGATCTCTCTGGTGGCTTTCTGCTGGTCGAGACATTCCTAATTTGCAAAGCTTGATTCTAATGTTTGAACAGTCCTGTGTATATCTTCTAGATCTTTTGGGACTTCATCTCACAGCATTATGGCTGTGTAATGCCAGACTGAGCTGAAGTCACAGCTCTGGCAGAACAACTGTTGACCAAGCACCACGGACAGAGGCTGTTCCAAGCACTTCCAGAAAATCCCCCAAAAGAGGTGGGAAAATATCTACCACGGCAGATTGGTTTTGAGATGGAGAAGGTTTGAAACCATCCAAACTGGCATAAGAACACAACAACATTCATGTATGGGTCAGTTCAATGGTCTGCCTAGCTCAATATCCTGCCCTTGTCAGTGGCCAAAAACAAATACTTGAATGTTAAAAGAGGGAGAGAAAAACACACTGAAAGATTTCACAAAGATGAGTCAAATTTTTGGAAACAAACCACACAGTGTGAAGTTTATGGAGTATAGATTGTCAAGGAGAAGGTTTAAAAAGAACATGTCAACATGTTATTCTGCAAGCAGAAGTGAGTACGCCCTGCCTGCTCTTCAAGCCAGTATTTGCTTGGCTGCAGCACCATGGTAATGCAGCTACATAGTTGACTTCTACTAATTTCCATCTCATAGCAACGTTGGCTTGTCACCTTGCTTTGATAGTCATCTTTAATCTTATCTCACCCTGGAATACTGAAACTTTTCATACGACTTCTACATAAATAGGCATCGCATCAAACCCATTTCTGCTCTAGACCTCAGCATGGGATGGTAACTTACAGAGACTCATGCTATGGGTCTCTTGATTACAATCTGAGCCCACCTCCTTGTGAAAAAAGATTCATAATGTTTATCAGTTCAGCTAGAAGGACTGTATAAACTTCAGATGCTGATGGCTGAACACTCTTAATTTCTTTTTGAGAGGAGGTTGTGCTGAAATTCATGCCAAAGCAGTGTCAGCCCATCAGTAAAAGTTCAGCACTTGCATTACTCCCAAAAATGACATTCTGCAGGAGTGGACAAGTGAGACTGTAGAATGTGTTCAAACAAGAGAACTGAAATCATCTTTTTTTTTTTTTTTTAAGTCCCTGAGCATCATGTTGCTGCTTCATTGGTGTACCTCCTTGCACCAGAGGTAGCTTACTGTACCTCCCTTCAGAACTGCTCCAGACTCTGTTCTTGGAGTGCTGCCAGCTGTTGTATGGGATGCTGGCATGATGTTGAATGCTAGATTTGACAGAGCAATGCTGCAAACCATTTTTGGATGATGTACCTTGTACTCCATCCTAAGGGGGAGCTATTTGTCGGTCAGCTACTGTGAGATCCAACCTAACACACACTTAGTGGAAAAAAGAGTAGTTTCCTGCCTTTCAATAATTATAAATCTTCAGGATAGTCTTTTTGAATTGCATAGAATCATAGAATCATTATGGTTGGAAGAGACCTCAAAGATCGTCAAGTCCAACCATATACCCGATGCCACCATGCCCACTAAACCCACTAAACTGTGTCTTGAAGCTCCACATCTAAATGTTTTTTGAACACCTCCAGGGATGGTGACTCCACCACCTCCCTGGGGAGCCCATTCCAATGCCTAACAACTCTAACAGTGAAGAAGTTCTTTCTAATGTCGAGCCTGAACCTCCCCTGGCACAATTTGAGACCGTTTCCTCTTGCATCATACACTGTTCATTCTGACTGCTGAGTCTCAGTTGTTATGGGTTGCAATTTGTGGCCTCATGCCAAGTAGATGGAGTTTGTAAGTGTGGCAGGAGGGGCGTTGCTAATGAAAAACAATCCAGTTTTCAAGTTCAAGTGCAAAGTTGCAGAGGGTCTATTCTGATGCAATGTCAACCAACTGTGATGAATCCTGTTTTGTCCATCTCACCTCTTTCTTCAAATCAGTATCTTTCCAGCTTCATATATCATCTGTGATCTATAAGCAAAAATATTCAACATATTCCAGTAAAACAGAGAAGAACTGGACAAACGAGTGACCATAAATCTAACTGCAACTGGATTTTCAAAATGTTTTCTTGATCCTTTGTTTACTACCATATGAAATATCTTGACTTAGAAAAGACAGATTACGGAAAAAGACTCAAAACTCAATATCTTAGACCCTAGGTCTCAGTCCAGCAGAAAACTGAGTTATTCCTAAACTCATAAATTGCAGTTTCTGGAATAAAGGCTCTCATATTTAGAATCTCTTGTACAGCTGAAGTTACAGGTCTTTTAGGTTATTCACTGCCTGATCTAGAAGCTGTTGTGTCTAGCTTAACTGTTACCTGTAATTTTCTTTCCATTTACTACAAATATTGTCCAAGTTGAAGTAGGTGTTTCATTTTGTGATCAGATTGCAATATTTAATGATGGAATGTATCATTTGTTCCTAGCATATAATTGAAATGTATGTTGTTTTAATTGAAGATAATTTAACAAAAGTCGTGTCATAAATGCAATGATTCTCCATGGTATTTACTGGCAGTACCTTTACAAATTATGGAGGAAAGTTTGAATCTGTTTCATTGCAGAAGATCTATAAATCTGTTGAAGTTTTGTTTGAAACCAGTTTGTAAAGTTAGCATTTTGGGGGCCAGTTCACCTGGGGAATTATGAAAGTGACGGTGCTGGAAAAGGTTTGGATTAGTAAACGTAGTTCCCATGGTTGCATTTCAAAGACATGCTTTATATTCTGAATCATGATGGTTTCCATGGGAAACATCAAAATGAGAAACAGGAAGAGTGGCCATTGTGGAAAAAAAGCTGTGAATGGCTTTTTCCAGGGAATGCAATAACAACTTGAAATTCAGTTAAAAACAGGAGTTCCAGAATGTTTATGCATATTCAGACAGTATGTCTGAATGCTGAAATTCCCCTTGCATGGTATGGTGGACTGTGCTGCCTAACAGTGAGTATATTTATAAGGGGCCTCTCACTGCAAGCCAAGCAGGTAGACTTGGATCCAGTCTACATCTCTTACTCCTCTAACTGATATCTAAACAGAACCAATCCTCCTAAATAAGTGCCTCTGTGAGCAGTGTTGCAACTGGGGAGAAGGAGATACCTTTAGTGTCTCCAAAGTGAAATCTTGTCTGCCTAACTTGTGCCTAAATTTAGACATTTAAGCATACTTTACATGTCCAAGTTAGCCAGACTGGACCTCACCTGTAGAAAATTCAATGGCTAGCAAAGCTGAAGCCTTCTCCATTAGCTCTGAGACACCATGTGTAACCACACAAGAGTCCAAATAAAGCAACAGCATTCATAGTTCAGACTTGAATCAAGGCTGAATCAGGAATGTTGTGGTTAGTGTTCATCTTTTACCCATTCTATTCACACCTTCTTTTTGGAAATCTCCACTAGAAAACAGATTCCTTTAGTATAAGTGACATCTGTGCAGCAATGAGAACACTCTGGCTAGGATACATTAAATAAACACCATCAGTACACTTTCTTGGCACAGTTTGGTGTTGTTGAGGCAACTGTACTACTGAAATAGGGTGGAAGACTAAAATCATAGAAGGTAAAGAATAGCAAAGAGGAGATCTGTCTGAGGTGGCTACTTGGGGCTTTACGTATTCCAGACAGACAAAAAAATTGTGTTCCCCATGCTTCCTGCCTGGTAGGTAAGTATCAGAAGATAATACAAAAAAGAGAACAAGTCTTGCACAAGTGGAATGCAAACTATTACTCATTCCAGTAGAAGTTATTTAAAGCATGCTGGAAGCATGATACTTAATTATCATTAAGTGATCTGCCGTTACCCTAAAGCATTTTGCAAACACACTGCAAACTGAGAAAAA